AAGGCCCAGATAAAAGAGGAAGTCGAACCACCAAATCAGTGAAAATTTACTTGGGACAGGCTTCCGCGAAATGTCCAATCCGATGACATATTCGACATTGACGGTCGGAAGGAGCGGCTCCCATACCACATTCTTTCAACAGAGTCGCCTAAAAATGCAAACCATAAATATTGGTCAAAATCTAAATGATAGCTAGTTTTTGTACTCTATGAAGACAATTTACAATAACCGAACAAAACACGAGCATAAAACCACATTTTCAAAAACATACCGCATAGTTATCGCTCAGATTAGGAGGTATTTCCCTATCATCTGGCAATCCTTTTTTACCCAAAAATTCACGGCGAATCTCGGGCAACATGAATCTCCTTCGAGAGTTGTGAATATTGCGTGCAATAAATACGAACACTACAAGAGAGTTCATATAAAAAATATCAAAACTAGAGCGAAAAAATCCCACTTACTTTTCTTGGTAACACCCGAACCCAGATTATGATGGAGATCGAACGGATCTTCTATGCACATGGCGCGACTCCAATCTTTCTCCATTTTGAGCAGCGGCTTCCTGCGCCGAATTTGGACCACCTGACCATAAACAAATCTAATTGAAGCAAAACTGTTGACCAAGTATCCAAATAACCAAATATTGGCTCACCTGCGTTTCAAAGTCAAAGCGGGCAAAGTAATCCAAAAAACCGACAAACAACTGCGCCACAGATGAAGCATTCTTTGACCATTCGGTCTTGCCAGGGAGTGTTTTATGGTAATAAACATCGTGATTCTCGACCATAACAGATTTCACTTCACCATTACGGAAATCCTAAACGACATACTTCTGCACAAACCTCACACAGTGGAAAATATGAATACTATACTTCTTGCAAGCGAGGTAAGACAGGTGGGTCGCAATTTTGAAGGTAGTGGATCAGAAGAATAATAATGGCGTATGACGACAGCGAACCACGTGACGCATCACCGAAATCACACGACTTCGCCCACTGAAAAGATAAACTAGCAAATTCATTTTGAAAACAACACCGAAAAAAGTCTATTGCTAAACAACCCGTTTTGAATTCGAAAAATTCATCATTTACATGACAAATTTGAATCGTGAACAAAAATTAACTGTACGGAAAATTGAGCAAATATAAACTGACATTCGCATTGATAAAAAACAAAATAAATCCTATGCATAAATTGGATTTCAGATCCTGATAAGTGTAATTTTCAAATCGATAGCGTAACAATGAGGAGTGTTAAGATAGGAAACTATCAAAACAATGAAGGTTTGTATATCCAAACTTGATAAGGCGAAAATGAACTAAGTGCTCATAAAAAACTCACTCGTTTCACCCATATACCGACTGGTGCAACACGTCGATCCCATGCACAGTACGTTCGCAACAATTGTGTATTATATAGGGCCAGGACGTTGTAGTAACTTATACTAAAATATCATACGTGAGTCGCAAAAGAATAAAAAATCAGAGAGTATTAACTTACTCTCCCTCGAATGCAAACTTTGGGCAAACAAATTTCACTATAGGCACTTTCGCGGTAGTAATTGCATAGACTTTATCCAATCCTTTCATTTTTTGTAGAGATTGACAGATTTCTAGCACAATCTTTACTCCATCCACTTGCTGAAACGGATTTAGA